AACCGTTTAAGTACTAGAGGGAAATACAGGTGAATCCCCGTACCATCTGAGTTTGGAAAAGAGCTATCTATGATCCACAAGCCAGAACCAAGAAGAGAAAAGAATTAATAAATCTGACTAGTACAAAAAACACCATCTCAGGCAAAGTAAAAAACAAAAACAAAAACAAAAAAAAAAAACTGGGAGAAAATATTTTTAACATGTAATCAGATATAAAAAGAACTCCTGCAATATATAAAGAACTCTTTGAAAAAGAACCAAAAATCCTATAGGAAAAGGGCAAAAGACATGAACACCCAATCCACACAGGTACAGAAAGATACTGACATGACCTCTAAGCTTATGAAAGATGTTCACGTCACTAATAACATGAGATATGCAAATTAAAACTACCATTTCTCACCTATCACACAATCAAAAAGTATGACATTTTGTTGGCAAGGCTATGGAGAAAGAGGCACTCATGGTAGTGGTATGAGTGGGAACCAGCACAATCAATTACAGAGGGGAATTTGACAATGTTTAACCAAACTACGTATGTGTTTATTTTCTTACTTAGAAATCTTCCTTCTAAGAATCTATCTCGGGGGTGATAGATTCTCCATTGTATTACACTGCAATGGGAGGTTTGAGTAAGAATTCAGTTTTATATATACATGGCTATTGAAATAGGCATAATGTGGTATTTATGTCCTTCCAGCTGTTTATTAAGATGGCATAGAAACAATGCTATCTCCCTAGCTCAGTAGGAAGAGTATGAGACTCTGCATCTTGGGGTCATCAGTTTGAGCCCCACAGTGGGTGCACAGATTACTAAAAAAAAAAAAAAAAAATTTTTAAATCTATTCTGAAGATACACCTCCAACAATAACAAAATACCTATGCACAATATTACTAATTGTAGTATTGTTGCAGAACACTGGAGACAGCCTAAATACCCACATAAAGGAGTGGTTGAATAAACTATCACTCCACAAATGAAGGACTTTATAGCTAAAATAAGCATGAACAAGATCTCAATGAACTGACAAGAGTGACTTCCGGAATATATTTTAGGGTAAAGAAACAAAGTGCAGAAGAGTAATCTAGAGTATGTTACCATTTAAAAAGAAGAGGAGAAGGTAAACAAATAGATCTGTTCATTTGTGTGAAAAGAAATACAGAAAGGATAAACTAGAAACTAATGAGATTGGTTACCTACAGATGGCAGATGGGAATGGGGTGGGAAGGATGGGGCAGAAGCTAGGGTAGTGGGGACTGGAGGGGATGTCTCTAAAGACATCTTTCCAAATAGTTCTGGCTTTTGGAACCATGCTAATGTTTTGTACACTCAGTAAATGCATGCATATATAAGATGTAGAAGAATGGATAAAATACTAAAATGGAATATAATATGATACAAATGAACATATAAGTATGTTTCTTTTTTTTTTTAAGACTTTATTTATTTATTTGACAGAGAGAACACAAGTAGGGGGAGCGGCAGGCAGAGGGAGAGGGAGAAGCAGGCTTCCCGCTGAGCAGGGAGCCTGACACCAGGTGCAATCCCAGGACCCTGGGATCATGATCTGAGCTAAAGGCAGATGCTTAACTGACTGAGCCACCCAGGTGCCCCAAACATAAGTATGTTTCAAATGAATAACCTAACCAATTGCAGAGGAGGGGAAGAACTAACCCAACAAACTTCTGAACATAGGCTGAGGACAAAAAAAATTATAGTGATCTCTAGTTGGTAAGGTTTTGTTTGCATTTTTTTGTGGTGGTATGAATTAGTAATTCAAAAACTATTTTCTGTGCTAAGATTGAGAAAGTAAATAAACATATTGTAGATAATAAGAATCGGGTTTCTTAGTATTGGGTAAAGGAATTACAAATATGACTATGGGAAAGGCTATAATAAACTCCATTGTATTACACTGCAATGGGAGGTATGAGTAACAATTCAGTTTTATATATACATGGCTACTGAAATAGACATAATGTGGTATTTATGTCCTTCCAGCTCTGTTTATTAAGATGGCATAGAAACAATAGCAAAAAGCCTACCTGGTACTCAGACCCTGGCTTCTAAATATCAATCTTTGCTTAAAGAAATTTCTCCTTGGAGGGATGCCTGGGTGGCTCAGTCAGTTAAGTGTCTTGAGGGTCCTGGGCTCAAGCCCTGCATCAGGCTCCCTGCTCAGTGGGGAGCCTGCTTCTCCCTCTGCCTGCCGACCCCCCTACTTATGCTCTCGCTGTCAAATAAATAAAATCTTAAAAAAAAAAAAAAAGAAAAGAAAAGAAAGAAAGAAACTTCTCCTTGGAGAAATAGCTAATTCCAAGGTTGAGGACTGAAAAAATACAAGATGAGCCTTGAATATGTAGTTGTCCTAAAACATGAAGACATTCTTTAAAGAATGAAAGGGTCGGGGCGCCTGGGTGGCTCAGTTGGTTAAGCGACTGCCTTCGGCTCAGGTCATGATCCTGGAGTCCCGGGATCGAGTCCCGCATCGGGCTCCCCGCTCAGCGGGGAGTCTGCTTCTCCCTCTGACCCTCTTCCCTCTCATGCTTTCTCTCTCATTCTCTCTCACTCAAATAAATAAATAAAATCTTTAAAAAAAAAAATGAAAGGGTCACATCAAAAAGGAAACAGAAGCTGGACTGAATGGGTTCCCACTGGCCAAATCTGGGACAATTCAAACATCAAAATAAATACATATGACAACTAAACGCAACCCATGAGCCCGGAATAAATCCTGGACCAGAAAAACAAATTTTAAACTTTGTTATAAAGAATATTATTGAGACAATTACGGGAATTTGAATAAGGTCTGTAGACAGATAATTTCTTGATTTTGATGGTTATGTAAAACAATGCCTTACTCTTAGAAAATACACACCAAAGCGTAAGCGTTTAGAGGTAAAGAGATAAAGTATCTTGCAACTTATTCTCAAAGATTTCAGGAAAAAATCACACACACACACACACGCACAGAATGGTCAAACAAATACAGCAAAATGGCAACATTTGGGAAATGTGAGTGAAAGGTATATAAAAAATCTTTGTGTTATTCTTGCAACTTTTCTGTAAGTCTGAAATTATTTCAAAGTTGAAAAATAAGACCACTTCAGATAGTGATTAACTGCTACTAGGAAAATAAACAAGATAATGTTACACAGAGTACCCGGGGTGGGGCGGGGCACCTTGCAGAGCTGTGCGAAAACTGAGAAGTTGGAGAAACTAACACGTGAGCCAAGACCTAAGTGGCAAGGAGGGGCCAGCCCGTCGGAAGGTCTGAAAACTCCCCGTCATGTTCCGAGTAGGTTGTCTTGATCAGCATTTTTGATATTTGGTGAAAGAAAGGTATGAATAGGATCCAGCTTTAAAATTCAATTATCGCTCGGTTCATGACGAAATACATTTAAGAAGTTTGATTTGAAAAATCACCTCTTGGTTTCTCTGGGATGTGTACGTAACTGGGAAAATGTCGGAAGGAACCGTCAGGAAGGTCTTGGCAGCAGGGCCGCCTGAAGCCGGGGGCAGTCATACGCAAAGAACAGAGACTTTGGAATCCAAACAAATTTAGGCCTCACTGCTTTCTAGTTCAGTGCCTCATCAACTTGTGAACACCTCTGAACCGCTGCCTTCTCTTTGAGAACGGGGACGAGTTCAAGCCAAGGTATGCAAGGGCTCGGCAAATGCCTGAATCACAGCAAGGACCTAGAAAATAGCAGCCCAAACCAAAGGAACAGAAGACAAAGCTCCACTGAATTTCCCCCCCTTTTTCTAGCCCTGAGGACACACTGCATCTTTAGTTCTATGCCAGGCTTTCTCAACCTTAGCACTATTGACATTTTGGTCCAGATAATTGGATGTTTAGCAGCATTCTTGACTTCAACCTATTCGATGTCAACAGTACTGCCTGAGTTGTGAAAATCAAAATTGTCTCGGCACATTGCTACATGTTCCCTGTGGCACAAATCTGCCCCCTGCCCCCCCGAGAACCAGTAATTTACACAGATCATTAAAATGTGGGAACCACATTTAATAGGGCTAACCAAAACAAACCAGGCTGCTGCAAGTCAATGATGGGAGAGGGAAACGTGTCATGCCATATAAAGAACCTACTTCCTTTATGAAGGCTTCCTCTACTGTCACAGAATTCTGACTACCTATATAAATGGAGAGTGGACAAATGAACTTATACAAGCCTCAGTTTCCTCAGGTGACTGTTACAAGAAGTAAATGCACAATATAAGTAAAGTGCTTAGCACAGTGTCTGGCACACAGTAAGCACTCAATTAACGCAAGACATTCTCATTACAATTGAGGTACTCCTAATTCCTGGGCTTCCAGGTTCCACTTATCACCCCTGATCCAAAATTCCTCACTCTGTACATACATTTATTTCTACTCCAAACTCTAAAGTGATCCTTTCTTTATAGAGGGAGCTAACCACTGGGGTGTAAAGAAAAGGGCAGGAAGTGCCGAGACTTCGATAATGAATTCAAAAATCTTCCCTAACCACTGACACAGGATATATGTATGTAAATTAGAGTCAGGAAACACATTTTTTATGCAAAGGAAGTGAGAAAAATTCATTAGAATAAAGAAAGAAAGATGACACTGACTTAATTTCCATTAGGGCACAACTACTTCTGCAATTCATACTCATTAGTTCAATGTAAAAAAAAAAAAAAAATGAGCAGAACTCTTCGACTGAATGAAATCCATGTGAGAAATTCTCTTTAAATTCAGGGTATTTTTTATGTTAAAAAACAGACATTTCTAGAATAATTTACTAAATGCAATTTATAAATAGTCATCTATGATGCTCCCATGCTACCTAGATGAGGTTATCACATAATTTTTGAAAAATTAAAGATTAGTCATGAATCAGAAGTCCTGGAAAAATGAGAACCTACAAAATGAAGTTTCAGAAAAGAAGTCATTACTATGTGAAAGAACGACTGATGCCTCTCTCTATGCAGAAATGAAGCAAAATGTTATTATAGCTCACCTGTAGTTTCTGAGTCAAAGAGTCCCTCTGTTCTTGTAGTTCTCTGGCATTATCTATTTCTTGTTTTAATCTTTCTATTTCCTAGAAAAAGCAGAGCAATGTCTTTAGCAACAATATTTAAACTAAATCAAGCAAAGAGAAAGTGTTATTTCTCCCTGAAATTATTGTCCTAGTCCTTAGAAAAGAATAGTTCAAAAGACATTCCTTTATGCTGATTTTTAGAAGGGTGAATTCGTCTTTATGGGTAGGTTGTCTAATACATGATAATTTTAAGCAACAAGTCTGCTTGGTGGCTTTGGTACAGCACTGCCTGGAAACAACAATCAGAACATTTTAAGGCTGCTTCAAGCTTTGTGGATATAATTCTTTCCTGGGATATTAAATCTTATGATTGGAAACCAGAAAAAGCAACAGCTTATAGAATTCATTTAACCTCTCACAGTTTTATGTTGATTTTATGAATGCAACTCTCATACAGAAGGCAAGAGGCAGTATCTCAGTCTGACTGCCTCACCATAGTTCCTAACACCAGAAACAAGGATGGAGAAAATATGAACAAGCTTCAAAAAAAATTTCATCTTCCCCTGAAAACACCCCACAACCTTACTTTATTCCATAAAGTAGCTGTAAATCGGACAGAGACTCAAATATTTTGTACACACATGTTAGCTAGATTACAGATGAGTGAAAAGTAGGAAATACCTCTTCCTTCACTTTCAGCGTCTCTTCTAGTTCTTGTATTGTTTGATTTAATTCTGTCTTATGGGTATGCACTGCATTTGCTTGGCTACTAACACATTCAAGCTCGGTCACCTAAAATGAAATGAGAACAAAGGTTAAGCTATATGACTATCTCAAAAGATTTCTTGTTGAAAATATACTAAGTCCCTCATAAGTAAATCACAACTTTTAAACAACATATGAAAATCAATTTTGAGAAATATTAAGACACTTAAGGTAGAATGAATAGATTCTTTGAGGACACAAATTTAGGACAATGAAAAAAGACTAAGGGAATAATTATTTATATGGCTTAGTCATGGAAGAAGTTAGGAAAGCTTAATTGGTTAATGACAGTTGAGAACCCCTATAATGAAAGGCTTCTTTAAATATTTCTTATGAAAACATATTCAAAATCAGATCTAGCCATCTGCCTTCCATCTGTAGCTTTCAAATTAAACATGGCTTCTGAAAACTGGCCTTACAGAAGTGAGAAATTTTTCAAATACATTTCCAAAATGTAAGAGAATCTGGAAGAAAAGATATGCTTAAAATACAACTTAAATCATTCGATACTAGAACGACTTCACATCCATAGTGTCTCTGTAGCAAAAGATAATATTCTTTAGTCAATAAGAATGTACTAAGGGCCCAAAGAGCTACAGAACTTTTTTATAGTTTTTTTTTAAGATTTTATTTATTTATTTGAAAGAGCGAGAATGAGAGAGAGAGAGAGAGAGAGAGAGCACACGAGAGGGGGGAGGGTCAGAGGGAGAAGCAGACCCCCTGCTGAGCAGGGAGCCCGATGCGGGACTCGATCCCGGGACTCCAGGATCATGACCCGAGCCGAAGGCAGTCGCTTAACCAACTGAGCCACCCAGGCGCCCCGAGCTACAGAACTTTTAATGAGCACTTGGTATTTTCTGAGAGAAGAAAGAAAGGCACTGTCTCTAAAAGTTAAACCATCCAACAACATTGTTGGACCCAACAGTCAAAATAGGCAAAAGTCAACATAAAAACATACACACGCACCCCATCACAGCTCTTTACACACGTTAGCATCTCATACATTTTGGCTGACTAGAATGCAGTAAATTCTAGACTGTTAAGGAAACAGCAAATCCTTCTCCTTCACATTTTCCAAATATCTACTTATCCTCCATAAATGTTACTCTACGTTTCTTAACATTTTCTTCCTTTCTATTCATGTACTAATAGCCTTGTGCCGACCCTATCATCCAAGGCTAGACACCAGCAATGGCCCACCAGAGGACATAATTATAATCTTTGTCTATTTTTACCTCTCCTATAAACCAACATTCATCTATCATTGTATAATTCCTCCATTAAAAGCCTTTCAAAGGCTCATTTTTTACAGTATCAAATCTAAACCCACAGGTCTTGCATACACCAGTCCTAAACTACTTAACTACCCTCATCACCCAAGACACTCACAGTATGTGATAGGTGGTTTTTCCAACTAAAAATAGGTGAGTCTCTTCATCCCAAAAATAAACCACTCTCACTGAATAAACCATCCTGCTGACTTAACTAGAATGTCTACTCTTACCGCTGAAGCTGTTCAGACCTTAGCAAACCTTCAGCTCTCAGCTCAGCGTGTGTTTTCACCAGAAAGTCATTGCTATCTACTTAATTCCTCTAGGCTCTCCTGTCCTGTGGTCCACAAAACAAAATGTATTCAAAATCTTGGGAATTAGTTCCTTATTGTTCACTATATAGGAGGTTTTTTGGGGTCCAATTAGATAATGAATTCCTTATAGGGAGTTCCAGTTCTGATAATGATGGAGTACTTTTTTTTAAAAAGATTTTATTTATTTATGAGAGAGAGAGAGAAAATGAGAAAGAGAGAGCTCATGAGAGGGGGAGGGTCAGAGGGAGGAGCAGACTCCCCGCCGAGCAGGGAGCCCGAGGCGGGGCTCGACCCAGGGACTCCAGGACCATGACCTGAGCCGAAGGCAGCTGCTTAACCAACTGAGCTACCCAGGCGCCCAATGATGGAGTACCTTTTACTGGAAAAACTTTCCCACAGATAACAATTGCAAATCATGACCAAAATGTAAAATTCAAATTTGAATTTTGAATGCCTGGGTAAGCGACCAAATAGAGCAAAAGACAGAAAGCAATCACACATTAGGTAAAATACACATATAACATCTTTTTGCTTGAAGGCACTCTGTAGTCTGGCTGCATTGCTTGACTAGAACTTAAGCAGAAACCTGTGGTCTTATTTCCCTGAGGAGCCTGAGGATCTGGGGACTCCTTAAAACAGCTGAAACAGCTAGAAACTGAGGGAACTGTATGAAGAAAGCCCCCAAAGAAACATAGAGACTTTCTTCAAATCTCTGGCTAACCCTTGATCTACATTTACACAGGTAAGATCCAAGGAGTCCAGCAACAGGGGGTTGGAAGGAGCTGGAAGGCTACAAGAACTGAGCTGTGGTAGGGCTCACCACAGAGAGAACAGTTCGGCGTTTCAGTCCCACCAAATTAGAGGACGTGTGTTATTACCTCAAGCTTTCCACTGAAACACCAGAAGGATTATGCCTTAGAAATAAACATTTCCCAGGACTAGGGAATTCACCATAGGGTTAAGGGCAAAATGAAAATAAATGGACTCTAATGAAGCCTAAGTCCACACCTCCCCAATTTCAAGGAAATCTGTAAGTAAGTTTAACTGCCTACTCAAACAAAAATCAACATCATTCAGAGTAAGATAAGAGAATCCATGGGCTGTATGTCATCTAATTTCAAATGTCTAACATACAACTGAAAATGACTAGACATGTGAAGAAATAGGAAAACGCAACCTATAGTAAAGACAAAAAGCTGCCACCTACATCCCTCTGGCTGCAACTGCAAAGGAAATTAGGCTACACAGAAAGGATGCCTGATGGAAATTCAGATCTACAAAAAGGAAAGGAGAGCATCAAAAATGATAAACATGTGAATAAATAGAAAGATTTCGCTTCTTAGATCTTTAAAATTCAATTCACAATTTAAACCAAAATTTCCTTAAGGACAGGGATTATACGGTAAGGGGATACGACAGTTCTTCCGTGAGTATTTATTGGCTCATGAGTTAACTGTCATGGATTAATTTATTTTATTGTAGTAAAGAACAGAGAATAAAATTTTATCATCTTAGCCATTTTTCAGTGTACAATTCAGCAGTGTTAAGTATTCTCACACTGTTGTGAAAAAGATCTCCAGAACTTTTTCATCTTGCAAAATGGAAATTCTATACTCATTAAACAACAACTTCCTTCTTCCTCCTCCTAAGTTAACCTTTACACATACAAGAGGATGACATTTACTCCGGTTTCTTACTCTCCCTCCCTGTCTCTATTTCATCTCTATATTCCTTCCCATGTCATCCTGATCCTACTACATTCCTCAAACTGTGCTCTGGTAGTAAGGCCATTTCCTACTGTCTGTGAAGTTCACTTCTTTGGCATCCTTCCTAAAAAAAGGAAATTAGTGGCATATACTTCCTGTTGGGTAAATGCAAATGCTGTGAATACAAAAAAAATTCTTCACAAGTAATTGTTTGGGCTTCTAATATTATTTATACTGGGATTTCTGATTTTCTTTTCCTGTATGAAATTACAAATACAGGTGTCTCCCTTTCTGAGAGTTTGAATTATGCCACTTCACTTTTATAAAAGTGAATATAAATGTGAATATAAAAGTGAATATAAAAGAAGTTTTTATAAAAGACCTGTATTAGTATGGTAACAGCTTTTTGTGGCAAAACTAAAAATGGTCCTCAGATTTGTCAGCAAAAAACAGATACTAATGTAGGTCTTTTGTAAAAACAAAGTGAACTTCTGGAAAGCAGGGGATACTCTTCTCTTTATACCACTTCAGCTCAGGAAAGGTTTCACAGGAATGCTTTTCTTTTGGATAGTGGGGGGAAACCTGTATAAGCAACTTTTATAAAGAATTTCTTACCTGTATTTTTTAAGTTGTTCCTTCTTCAAAAAACAATAAAAATAATAAAAGCATCTATCATCAACTCGGTACAACTACATGTCAACTCATTTTCTCTATTCATTTTCACAGGAATTCTACAATTTTCAATTTTATACATGAGAATACTGAGCAGAAAGGGATAACTTACCAAAGGTCACATAGCTAGTAAGTGGCAGAATAGAAAAATATTTTTAACTAAACCCACATTTACTACCATCTATACATATGTTCTGACAAGCAATGACTATCTCCAGATGTCCTTGCGCTGAATCTACATGTATGTTTCTGCAGGTCAGGGAAATCTGTTAGCCATCAGTCCCCACGGACAGCAGGAGCTCTGAGCTTACCCGCTTGTGCAGACGCTCTGCTTCCTCCTGATATGCAGCAAGCTGCTGTTTCCATTGTTTCACATTGGCAGTGGACTCCAACAGGGCCGCAGTGAGTTTGGCATTATTTCCTTTGAGGGTAGCCAGTTCAGCCTCCCAATGTTTGCTGATTGCTGAACTAAAAGAAAAGAAAATTCTATCAATTACACTGAATATTGTCACTTTGGAGGTGCAGCAGTTCTTGGTTCTATTAGTTTTATAGTCCATGAATATTTCAAAGATAATCTGAAAAGAATAAAAACAAATATTTCAACAAATATTTCACTGAAAAGTTCCTGCTGAAGAAAATCTAGCAAGTGAAGAAACAGAAAAAGTACAGAGCAGTAGGCTTAATGTAGACTAGTTCTCACCTTCATTAGGACAGATACAGATATCGACAGAAGAGTTTCTACCCATTCTCTTTTGAGGAATAAACATTATATCCTGAAAAAATATCTATGAGCAAAACGTAACAATACTGTGTATTTTTTAAGGTGGGTATTAGCTGACATATAATATTATATTAGTTTCAGGGGTATAACATAGTGATTTGGTAACTGTATACAGCACGAAATATTCACCATGATAAGTACAGTTACCATGTGTCACTATACAAAGTTATTACCATATTATTCACTGTATTTCTTAATCTGTACTTTTCATCCCTGTTATTTACTTTATAACTAGAAGTTTGCACCTCTTAATCTCCTTAATCACCTGTTTTGCCTTATTCCCCTTTTCTCTGGCAACTAGACAGACCAGTTCGCTCTCTGTACTTTTGAGTCTATTTCTGTTCTTCTTTTTTAGATTCCACATGTACTTGAAATCCTATGGTATTTTGTCTTTCCCTATCTGACTGATTTTACACAGCAAAATACCCTGTAGGTCCATCCATGTTGTTGCAAATGGTAAGATTTCATTCTTTTTTATGGCTGAGTAATATTCCATTTTGTGTGTGTGTGTGTGTGTGTGTGTGTACCACATACCACATCTTCTTTATCCATTCATCTACTAATGGACCTTGGGCTGCTTCCCTATCTTGGCTATTGTAAATAATGCTGCAATAAACCTAAGGGTGCGGATACCTTTTAGAATTAGTATTTTCATTTTCTTTGGGTAAATGCCCAGAAGTGAAATTAATGGATCATACGATATTTCTATTTTTAATTTCTGAGGAACCTCCATACTGTTTTCCACAGCGGCTGCACCAAATGCACCATATTTTTTAAGTTCATCAAACTTTGAAGTACAATTTCATTCCTTTGTGAAACATGTGAGGATGCTGCAATGTCAATAAGGTTTGGGACACATAACGTAGTATTTCTTCTGAAACCGTTATTGATTTATTTCACGTTATTCATAATTTTGAAAGGCCCAAAATACAAAAATTTGTCGCAATAAATTTATTTCAGGTATTATGATAGGCTACACCTAGAAATTGGTCCTAATGACTTAATTTCTGATAGAATTCCGTGTCGCATATAAAACAAAAAAAACCTAAAAGCAATAACCTATTTCCTCATTTACTGTTCTATTTAATAAGTTATCCAAACTTAATTGCCTCAACCAAGACAATTTTTCTATTACAAAGACAATTCTATTAATTGGGAAGATTTCTCTCTTGATAAATCCTTTGTTAACTGTCTCACGAAGAAATAACTGCCTCATTTGAAAGAAAAAGATGTTTTTTCCTTAAAAAAAAAAAAAGATTTATTTGAGAGCGAATGCGCACACACATGGTGGGTGGGGGGACAGGCGAGAGAGAATCTCAAGCAGACTCTTGGCTGAGCACGGAGCCCTGCATGGGGCTCAAGATGGCAGGACCTTGAGATCATGACCTGAGCCTAAATCAAGAGTCAGACGCTTAACCGACAGAGCCACCCAGGTGCCCCTTTTCTTACTTATTATTGAACAGTTTCCTCCTTTTAGTGAAATTCTACAAACCTCATCCCATTAATTAGTGATGATGATAGCTTTCTTTAATCTGCATTTTTGGTTTTTGGTAGGTTATCTGCATCACAGAGCAAATGCTTTGATGGACTGATTTTTTCTTTTTCTTTCTTTTTTTTTTTTTAAGATTTTATTTATTTGAGAGAGAGAATATGAGAGAGCGAGCACATGAGAGGGGGGAGGGTCAGAGGGAGAAGCAGACTCCCCACCGAGCAGGGATCCTGATGTGGGACTCGATCCAGGGACTCCAGGATCATGACCTGAGCCGAAGGCAGTCGCTTAACCGACTGAGCCACCCCAGGCGCCCTCTTTCTTTTTTTTTTTGAGAGAGGCAGAGGGGAGGGGCAAAGGGAGAGAGAGAATCTTAAGCAGGCTCCGCGCCCAGCACAGGGCTTGATTTCACGACCCTGATATCATGACCTGAGTAGAAATCAAGAGTTGGACATTTAACTGAATGAGCCACCCAGGTGCCCTGGACTGATATTTTTAATAGGAATTTTAATATCTATTATATTAAAGAAAGCATGTTCCTATCAGCAAGATTTCTAAAGCTCACCACTAATAATAAGATGTATCAGCAACATGAACCCACTGATATGATGCATAAGGAAAGACACAAGATAATTTCTGCAGTATTCTTGCCAAAAAGGTATAACCTCATTCTAATCATGAGAAAACAACATAAACCCAAACTGAGGACATTCTACAAAATAACTGGTTGGTACTCTTCCGAAGTGTCAAGAGAAGATAAGACTGAGAAATAGAATGGTGGAGAATAAGAAGAAATAATTAAATGCAAACAGACAGGTTCCTAGGAAAGGGACAATGATGAAAACAAGTCTCCTAAACTGGAGTTAACAGTATTATATCGATATTAATTTGATAATTATCATGGTTATGTAAGACGTTAACAGTAAGGGAAGCTGGGTGATGGTTTCTCTACATAGTTTTTTAACTTTCCTCTAAGTCTAAAATTAGTTTCAAATAAAAAGTTTTAAAAATTTTCTAAAGTTTAAAAAAATTTTTTTCTAAAGTTTACTAAGTGAAAACATTTCATCTAAACATGAAAGGATTAAATCAAACAAAAAGCTAAGCTATTAATTTAACAACCCACTTCTATCCTTGAAAAGAAAATTCTTTTCTATTCCGTCTTTTGGGGAATGATTTTCCAAATTCGGTTTTTCTGAGCAAAGCATGCACCTGTTCTAACTAAATCACAGATTTTTTTAAAACCACCTACCATTTTTTTCCCTATAGAGGAGTTTTATTTAAACAGACCCTTCAATCTGACAACTAAAATCTTATTGAACTAATTTAAACACTTGATATGTGCAAATACCAAACTCCTGGGGCATCTTTAGTTACATGTGGACATTTGTCCTCAGTTCCGGAAATCACTTTAGACTCATAAAGGTGAAATGGATGTCTTGTTATTCAAAAGAAGCCCCTTTCAACTGCAACTGAGTTTATGTTAATGAGGTGATTTTTAGAACCCCTCTAAAGATCATGGGGGCTGCTTTTCAGGAGAACCAACCTTGATTAAAGGTTAAAACTTTCAGTCCCACCCCCTGGCCTCCAGGGAGGGGAGAGGGGCTGGAAGTTGAATCAGTCACCAACGGCCAGTGAATTTATCATGTCTGTGTAATGAAGCCTCCATAAAACCCCAAAAGAATGGGTTTCTGAGAGCTTCCACGTTGGTGACCCAGAAACCATCCATGTGCTAGGTCCACACTCCACAGGAAAAAAGCTCCTGCTTTCAGAATCTTGCCCTATGTATCATTTCACCTGGCTATTCATTCATATCCTTTATAATAAACCGATTATCTAGTAAGTAAAACCAGTTTCCTGAGTTCTGTGAGCCACTCTAGCAAATTAATCAAACTAGGGAGGGGGTTGTGGGAACCCCTAATTTACAGCCAGTCAATCAGAAGCACAGGTAACAACGTGGGACTTGAGATTGGCATCTAAAGAGGAAGCAGTATTGTGGGACTGAGCCCTTAACCTGGTAGTTAGTGTAAGAACTGAGTTAAATTTTGTGGACACTCAATCAGTGTCCATGGAGAACTGAGTTAATTGCTTGGTGGTAATCTGCCTAATCTTCCTGGATTGAGGCACATGGGTTCTATCTCCTGTTCTAGTCAAGCTGGCTTGCCTGTGAGGGTTTCCTCCTCCCAATCAGATTTTCACTTCGTTTCCTATGAATTTTTGCCCCCAATTTTCTATATCAGCATCAATCTACAGGACTGCATTCTTCCTTTTCACAGATTCAGGTCTTCTCCATAAGTATTCTCTAGTTACACCACCTGTCCTTCCACTTCGAGCACAGCCCAGCGCTTGCCATTCTATGCAGGTTTAGCTAACACACTGACAACCTAAATGAAAAAGAAAAGGTGTTCATTTAAGTAAAATGTATTCTTTATGAAGTTAAGTACAAAATCAACCTCAGATTAATATAATGAATAGTAAATGTTTTAACTATTAAATTTTAACTAAGTTTTCGATATAAGTTTGAATATATGTATTTTGAATCTTACACTTGGGAGAGGACTTCACATTAGCCTTGATTAGTAGAATCTATAGATTCTACTATTTAGCTATCCATTCTAAATCGATCTATCAAGCATACAAAGTACAAGAGATCTCATGTACAGAACACAGATCTGGGAACTGGAGATCTGTTCAGGAAAAGGTTAGCATCCCCAAAACAGAATGCCTTGTTTTGGAGTAATTTAGAAATCAGTTCATCTGACCAACCCAAATTAGCCAAACTGGGGGGTGCCTGGGTGACTCAGCTGGTTAAGCATCTGCCTTCAGCTCAGGTCATGATCCTGGGATCCTGGGACTGAGCCCCAAGTGTGGCACCCTGCGCAGTGGGGAGTCTGCTTCTCCCTCTCCCTCTGCCCTTTCCTCCACTCCTGCACTCACTCTCTCTCTCAATAAATAAAATCTTAAAAAAAAATTTAGCCAGGGCGCCTGGGTGGCTCAGTCGTTAAGTTGTCTGCCTTCAGCTCAGGTCATGGTCCCAGGGTCCTGGGATCGAGGCCTGTACCAGGCTCCCTGCTCAGTGGGAAACCTGCTTCTCCCTCTCCTACTCCCCCCTGCTTGTGTTCCCTTTCTCGCTGTGTCTCTGTCAAATAAATAAATAAAATCTTTAAATAAAAAAAAATTTAGCCAAATGAAAACACAAAG